CAGTTAGACAGCTCTAATTTACATTTTTAAAGGTTATTACATGATAAAACAAAACTTTATATAGAGTGTAGAATATTAGACTTTATTTACCAAAGTTCTTTTGTCTTTCTTATTTTAAAATGTCAATTTTTGTTTGTGKTTTTTGAAATTTATTTATTTTCTATGTCTTTTAGGACGATTTTACTGAGTGTGATCTCGCTGCTCAATGAACCCAACACCTTCTCTCCTGCCAATGTGGATGCCTCAGTCATGTACCGCAAATGGAGGGACAGCAAAGGCAAGGACCGGGAGTATGTGGAGATCATCAGGTAAACATTTGTGTAGCCTTTTTTTAAACATGACATGCATATCTTTCATGTACAAAAAGTCAAASAATACATCTGTATTGACCCTTTGCACGYGACGTCACACACCCACCCCAAAAGACCGCCCACTTYGCCAYGACGKACATCAAAAACRATCTGTGTTAGCGTAAACTCCTGTACAGTTAGTCAAAACAAACATACATTTGGTGGACCTGGAACAACTTGGAATCCCCCCAGAAGAGTGGAGGGGGCTGGGGAAAGAGAGGTCTGGGCTTCCCTGCTCAAGCTGCTGGGACCTGACTCCCGATAAAACAGAAGAATGGATGTTTGAAAAAAACAAATTTTTAAAAATCCGTCAGATACACCATACCCACACATAAGGGGGAAATTTGTGTAATTTACTGACAATTTGTTGACGTGTGGAGGGTTGATGTYTGAATCKGTTAATAAAMAGACCTGAAYTTTAACAAATGTTTAGTCTAGCTTATATTCTGAACGAGTTGTCGTCAGCATTTTTTTAAAATGCGCTTCACATTGCTATCATTTAATATAAGTTTGTGCTGTCAGAAAGACTCCAACAGTTTCTGAGAGCTAATAATGAGCAGGTTACAGCCAACCTGCTGCTGCATGCAGCGTCTGTGGTTCTGATCCACAGACACCACATGAGCAGGTGAGCTGCATGAGGAGGTGAGAAGAGCCGTTCACCTCCTCATGCAGGACCTATCCACCCAGGATCAGGATGGTTAAAAACGTGTTTGCTTGTTTGTTTTTTCTCATTTTTCATTTTTACTGATGACAGAAATCAATCTCACTGACAGCATACAAGTCAAGTTGTACAGATTGTCCATAAATYACACAGATTTCCCCCATTTTGCAGATGGACGTAACAATAAATTTCCTGTTTTGTTTTGTTTTTAACTCKGCTTCAGAATTATTTTACGTGTCAGAGCCTGTAGGATGTGAATAAATAAAAAGTAAGTTCAAGTAAATAACCAGCTCAATCTGGTTTTTGAGGATCAAGATGCAGTTAACGTCCGAGGGAATTGATGTGTGTGACAGAACTTTTCTCGGTTAGCTATATACTGGTTAGCTATGTTAAATACAGCAGTCTATGAGCCCGACTAGGTCTACTACTTCCACAAATTAGCTCAACTTCAACAAGTAGGCTACAAGCCACGGTAAAAAACACAAAACTACTTAGAAAAACAATAACAGTCATTCTGTTCAATACACCGCTCACTTCAGACGTCCGTCATGGTGTTCCCACGTGACTTGGTGACATAGGTGCAAAGGGTCAATGTTTAAGAAATTTGACATAATACATACAATTCATTTTCATTTATTTATTTAAAAAGGACAATGCACATTAATCAATATTCTGTAAATATAAATGCGCTGGAATTAGCACAACAGCTAAATTTCATCCGTAGTCCTGAGCAGATAAAAAGGTAACAGTCCATAAAATAAGTGCACAAAACAGACAAAATTCAACAMTGCCCAACAAACACACAAACTCCTCAGTCTACACAGTTACATTATGTTACAGGTGAATTAATGACTGATTTTCTTTCAGCCAAACTTTAAGTTTCTTTTTAAAAATGGAATAACTGYCACAGTCTGATATTTGCAGGTAGTTCRTTCCATAAGAGTGTTCCTCTGATTGACGTGACCTTTCGACCAAACKCYGTTCTCCTTTTTGCGACAACACCATCCCCTCTAGTTTGAGACTTAGTATTCATTCTAGATGTATATTTGTGAATAAAATCCTTTAAAGGTGGAGGAGCATGTCCATTTAAGACCCTAAAAACAAGACTTAAATYACTGAATCTTTGATAATTTTCGAAGTCCAAGATCTTGTATTTATCAATGATTTTACAGTAGTGAACATGATAAGGTTGTCTGTCAAGAACTTTGTCCTTTTGAAAAGAGATTTGATTGGTTTTAACATATTTGATGTTATATGTAACCAAGTTGTAAGACAATAAGAAATATGAGAAAAGATCACTGCATGCATATACATTTTAGCTGCTTGTCTAGTGAGAAAAGGTCTGAAATGATGAAAATTGGCTAAGTTGAATTTTATTACATTAGTAGTTTTCTTAATGTGTTGCTTAAAGGTAAGATTTGTGTCAAACAGAACAGCAAGGTATTTGAATTGATCCACCACATCAAGTCTCTCTCCATTTACAAAAACACTTGGTTTTGGGTCATCTGCTTTCTGGCGTGAAAAAAAACATGCAAACAGTTTTTTTTGTATTAAGATACAAACATGAATCTTGAAGCCAGTTGCATGCTGGTTCCATAGCAGTAGATACAACAGCAGCTGCTTCCTGTGCTGTTTTAGCATGTGTATACAATACAGAATCGTCTGCATACAGCTGAATTTTGACACTTKAACATAAATTTTATTACATCTTTTGAACTTGACATCAAAGGGGAACTCTTAAAGAAAATAAACTCCCTGGTCTTTGTTTACTGAAACAATAATTTGAACTCTGATTCTAGTTAAAGGACCTGCAGAGTTCAAGTCCACAGAAATATAATCCAGTCTTCTTAAAATCTCCCTCAGGAAACAGGTGATGGCCACCAAGGCAGAAGCCGAGCGAGACGGCGTGAAGGTGCCCACCACGCTGGCCGAGTACTGCGTCCGTACACGCGCCCCGGCCCCCGACGAAGGCTCCGACCTTTTCTATGACTATTACTACGAAGATGACGACGTGGAGGAGGGAGATGGCGACTGTTGTTACGACGAGGACGACTCGGGCAACGAAGAGTCGTGACGTTTTCGTCGTCAGAAAGTCTAATCTCGTTGACGTGTGCTCAACCCCTCTCTCTGCCTGGGTTGCCAGATGTTCTAGGTTTACAACCAAGAAATATTGGAAGCTTTCCTCTTCTAAATCAGTACAAGAGCTTTTTTTTTCTCTCCCCTTGAGTCTCAGAGGTTAAAGTGATGTCTCACCGTGAGAAGGTCAGACTTTGGTGAGATTTGCACCAGCACAAAAGTCGCCAGTTTTTTTTTTTTTTTTTTTAGGGAACTGTTTCCATCACATTAATCATCATTATGCTCACAAGATCCAGTTGTATTTAGAAAAGGTATTGTTGGTTAAGTTCCACCGTCAATGATAACATTTGAACTGGTGCAAACTCTTCAGAACATTACTTAGCCTCTCTCTTTCATATCTTTTTTTCCCCCCTAAATGTAACTGGGAGTTGCCGAAGCAACGGAAAGTTTTACGAACTTTGTGCTGCTTGGTTGTGCCGGACAAAGCGCTGCAATTATCCGATATTTTTGAGTTTTATGATGCCTTTCCTTCAATAGGACAWGACATGGATAAAATGTCGTGACAGTGTTTTCAAAGTTCTTGTGCATGCCAGAACATCTTTGAAAGCTTTTTTATTGTCTGCTACTGGTGGACTGTTTCCCCCCCACTTCCTGAAAAGACTTGTGACGATGGAGGACTCTCCGTCTGAAGGAATGGCTGGCTCAATCAGAGGGTCAGTTTCATACGTGGACATTTTTACTAACATGAAACTGATCATTGCTGGTCTCTTCTGGTTATTGTTGGATGTGTTTTCTCTGTCACTCTTAGWGTGGGGTTGTGTTGTTTGAAGTAGCTCAGCATTTGAAATTGTGTAAGATAAGCAAGTTCTTGAGGGCAAAAGGGGGCGGGGACTTATTGATCAGAATTGTATTTCTCCTCAGGGTCACTCTCTGAGTGGCCTGATGGACCCAAAGATCTGAAACAAGTGTGTAAAACAAATTTTAATGTTTGACAAGTGTTTGCTTTACTCCTTTCTTTGTTTGTCCCTTGCTTTCCTGCAAGCTCTATCATTTTAGTCTTTTTTATGTTAGACATTCTGCCTGCACTGTTGACTTGAATGGCTGACCAARAAACCCATAAATGGTGTTTGTCAGAAAGTGAACTACCAGGATTTTCAAACTTCTTCAGCCCTACAAGTGAAACTGAAAATGTTTAGACCTCCTAGTTTTATTTCTCATGACTATTTTTTGTGATAGGAGTGGTTTGGATAATATTTTAGAGTGTCTGGGTGTCCTGTGTATATTTTTTTTCTTTTTTGTTTGCTTGTTTTCAGTCAGCATTATTGATTAATTTCCTCTTWTTGGGACATCATATTGAATTTCTCAGGATAAAATTACGTGCGACAAAACAATTGAAACAAGCAACTAATTTTGTCTTTAGGTGGTCCCCTGTGTTGGTTTACAGCTTCTACAGGAACCATAATCAATATGCACACGTAGCTGTATGAATGATCACCATATTGTTTTTGTTTACCTGTGTCTGTTTTTTATTTCAGCTATTTAAAACTGAAAAATAAAGATTTATTTGAATGAAAAAAAAAATGTCTTCAGTACTTGAAGAGGTCATGGGAACCATTTTTGTCATGATCACAGATAGTTGTGGTATACACACTTTATTTTATAATTAGTTGTGAAATTTTAAATTTAATACTTTTCTTATTCTATAATTGCAGAATTGTGAGTTCTTGGTGGAAAGGAGGAAAGCTTTATGTAATATGACCAAGTCATTAGCATTATTTCTTCTTTACCTCAATAATTCAAGTTAAATAGTACTTCCATATGAAAGCAAAATAAATTGATGTGTTAAAACGCAGAGGCGTTTTGTGCAGTGAGTTTTTCCCATTTTATGAATGCATAATATCCTAAATATGATTTCACACCTATATAGCATGAATGGTAGGGTACGGCAGTATGCGGATTTTTATTTTAAATTTTACTCAAAACTTCTAAAAACTAGGTTTTCTACCACAAGTCTGAACTGTAGAAATGATAAAGAACTATGTTAAGTTTTATAGTTTCCCAATGTCCCTGAACGCGGCGTACTTCGACGCTCAGTGATCACGTCATCAAAACGAAGCAGCATAAACCCGGGTTGAAGAAAAACGCTTCTGGAAAGATACACGAACAGTTTCCAAAACAAATAATAAAGACAACCAACTCAAGTCATGTCTGTCAACTATGCTGCCGGGCTGTCTCCTTACGCAGATAAAGGTGTCTGCGGTCTGCCTGAGGTAAAATATAAAAGTTATCAAGTCTATTAGTGCGTTACGAACAGGTAGTTAGCATAGCAGCATTTGTTTCATTAGGGCTAATCGGCCAGTGCGAGACACGGTTTAGAGAACAGACCAAACATTTTGTTCTATGTGTGACGATTTGTGTGCAGAAGTGTTTGTAGGCACGAACTGAATGAACGCATTGCATTGCGTGTAATATCAGATAGGCGTTTTGAAAGTATTTTAGGTTTGGATTTATCTAGGATAATTGATCTCACCAGGACTTAAAAGTTTAACACAAAGATTTTATTAAAAAAAATAAAATAACGATGCCAAAATGTAGAACCAATTAATAATTTGTCAAAAMTGAAAAGTCTTGTCCTTACCGTACTCAGTAAAAATACATGAGTAAATAACAGGCAGGTGCTGTGAATCAAATGCACCTTTTTTCTAATGAACACCTCTGCTGAAACAGAAGCATTGCCACTCTGCTGGTTTTAACCATTTAGGCRTATTAACAAAAGATTAAGAGTCTCACCATGAATGAGAGAGAAGATTCATCAAGTTCACCAGATTGAAGGAGAAATTTGCCATGAAAATAAAATTTGTGATCGAACAATTAAAAAAAATTGACTTGTTGGGATGGTTTGCCAGATGAAAACTTCTCTCTATAAAGTCTGTTTCAGCACATTCTAGGTTTACATGTTTACATCTGAATAAACTACTAAGTTTTGGATACAGAAGTTGAGATGTGTGGATAAATGCTGCGCAAAACACTCAAATGCAACAACTTAGCAGAAACAAATCAATATCATCCTTCTCTCTTTTAACTAAATTATTCTAGAGCCAAATATGAGACCAGCTCACTATCAGCTGAAGCTTGACAATAATTAGGTCATGTGTTACCCAAACTCAAGTGCAGCAGTACTTTAAAAAAATCTTTTATTATTATTATTATGCAACATTGTGTCAGCCTAGTCAAAGTACCTGAACCCAGTTGAATGTTTGTGAGCTGTTCATAAACAAATGCTGCACACAAACCTCAATGAAATGAAATAATGAAGTAAAGAAGAGTGGGTCAAAATAAAAGACAGTTAAGAGCATACAGAGGATAGTCACTTTAAATAGATCCTTTTGTGTCAGGTCTTGAGTTATAATTGGTGATGTGTTAAGAGCAGGTGATCCGATAATTTATAGTAGATTTGCTTTTAAACACTTTTGTTAAAGTTTTTACATTAAAAAAGTTGTTTTTAATGCTAAGATTGTGAATGTTTTTATATTTAATAAACTTTCTATCAATTTTTTATACTGCCCTGATGCGTCTCAATAATCCAGTTAGAAAAGTATTAAATAAAAACGCAGAGTAAGTCCTCTGAATGTGTTCTTTGTTCAAAACATTTTATAAAAAAAAAATCATCATTTTCTTCTCCTTTCCTCCTCTCTATGAATACATTTTTATCAATTAAAAAATGTTTGAAAATGTACATCATCCCTCAGTACATCCTGTAGTTCATTTTAGTTTGAGTTAAAGAGAAGATTATGTTCTTTATGCCGGTTTTTAAAGATTCGGTTTTCTCTTTTGTGGCAGAGTTTTGATTCACCCGAGGAGCTGAAAGCAAAGGTGGAAACACTCGCTCAGCTGATTAAAGAATCTCAGTACCTGGTTGTCCATTCTGGAGCTGGAATTAGCACCTCAGCAGGCATCCCTGACTTCAGGTGAGACACAATCCACATCACCAGATAATTCATTTGCAATCAGATCATTTCAAATTTTTCATTTTGTCATAAAATACTGCACCGATTCACACAAGCCATTAGATTTAACCCTCACTTGCCATCATCTTTTTCTCTTTTTATTTGGATCCCCATTAGTTGCAGTTCCTGCAACTACTCTTCCTGAGGTCCATCATTAAACGTAAAACAACACAAAATACGTAGCATACATAGTTCACACATATTCAAAACAAAAATAACTACACAATAAAAAATATATAAATATAAATAAAAWAATAAATATAATCTGACAAAATTTATATCTGAAGTTGGCAAAAGAATATTTGGATGAGTTTGTGTCAGTTTGGATCCTCTTCATCAGGATTCATCTCCTGCTGTGTTTGCAGACTACATATAAGTTTTAATAGGTTGCACAAAAACAGATAAAGCTCTGCTTTTTCTTCCAGCAACACAAGTATTGATAGTAGCTGTTTAACTGTGATTTGAGCAGAAATTGTTCAAGCTTGAGTGCTGTAATTCAGTTTTAATGAGGAAGAGCATGCAGTGTATTTTTCCATTGATACACCTTCCACTGATCAAAGCAGTGCAGCAGAGCTTCTCTTGGTTTTTTTCTCAGAAGCTCTCGTTTTTTTTTTTTCTATACGTCTCTTTTAAACTCAAATCTCTTGAGTGCGGACCCATTTTACCCTCATTTATTAATAAAAGTTGCAACATCAGTTTAGTTAGCAGGGAGCTTATGGCAAACTGTGGTTCATTTCTGTGAGTTTAGGCTCAAATAAGATGCAATAATTATTGTTTTTATAGCTACATCTCTTAAACTTTACCCTTTGAACAACCTTCAGTTTGAATATACMATAGTGTTTCTCCTACATAAGATATTCTTTTGTTTTGTACCACCTGCTATAAACTTTCAAATCCCGCTGCTGAAAGATCTTGGATAAAGATCTTCTTTAAACATTTCTCTCAGTTTGATGAAAGTGAGTCAGTGAAATTATAGATGAAATGAACAATTTGTTAAACTGCCACTAACCCAGCAGCTGGAGAAAATAAAGATTATTGCTGCTGCACGCACGCACGCATCCCCCTGCACGCGCGTGACAAACACGGACTTTAAACGTGAAGGTTTATAACATTCACACTGGCGAGGTGGATGCGCCCTGCGCGTGTATCCAAAGCTTTTGCTGTCCTGCTGTTCTTGTCGGGGAGGGGTCTGTGGTCTGTGGGTCAGGGTCATCTGTGGAGGAAGCAGATGAAGGGAGTTGCGCATGGGAACTTTTATTTAAGATTTAAGTTTGTTTTTTATTTCAAAGGTCCTCATGGCTCAGCAGCAGAAGCATAAAAATTACTGTTAAGAAAGTTGATGATAAAGCTGAATGAAAATCTAAGTCTGATTCTGAAGGTAAATTAAATATCTGACAGTGATCATKACACAGTGTGGCTCTAATTCTTCACTTCATCATCTGTGTCGCAGTTTCACGTCTCCAAAATGAGCGTAGGCATGGGTCAGAGCTGGCATGAGGCACCGCACATTTTCACGTCAAGTTTGGATTTTATAAATCACAACCTTGGCTTAAAAAGTGGCATACGCACGTTTCTGGGCTCAAATTGTGCGTACGCCTGTTTTATAAATCCGACCCCAGGAGAAAAAAGGCTGATTAATCCTGCCAAACTGGTGACGCAACCTTTTCTCTTCTATCCACAATTTTCTCTCAATCTGTTGCTCATTTTCTCCTTTCACTCCACGTTGTTCTTTTTATTTTTATTTTAAAGCAGTTCTGAGGCACAGTGGTGAAACATGAAACTGCTTCTGTTCATGTTGCTCAGCAGGTTGTTGCTCGCTTATCAGTGAGTGAGTGAATTAGTTGATGCCACCAAGTCAAGCAGCTAAATCCTTTCCTCTGCCTACATCCCCCAGAAYGCCGTGCAGTTCTGGATCAGAGTTCAATGAAATCAGCAACCTGTTAAACATATTTTCATTGATATTGATAACGTCCATCACAGTATATATTGTTATTTTATTGCCCGGCACTACTATTAGCATGAGGTGCAAAGGCATTTTTTTGAAAGCTCTAAGAAATTTTTGTTTTTGTATTTAGTTGTAAAATTTCATGTTAGAACAACACACAGAGATAATAATGAATAATATCTCATGTTAATCTGTTTACATCACAAGCCTTCATGAAGTAATAATCATAAATTTAATTAATCATAATCATTAATAATAAATCAGAAGTTTTGTCAATAGCATGCACAAATTATTCTTTAAAACTTTTCACATTGAAAATGTATCATGTCATATATGGTGCTGAATATGAGGTGATATGACATTCTGTCTGCTGTTTTTTATTTTTTGTTTTTGTAGTACCTCTGTGCAGCAGAGGAGGGTGGTGTTTGCTCATTCTGTGTCACATCAGGCTAAAAAAATATTTTTGGTTATTGTTACATAAAGATTTACTTTCTTTTTGTGCCCAATGAATCTGCACACCTTCAAACGCAGATGTGACTCAAAAACTCAGCTTTAATTTGTATTTACAAGGAAGTGAAGCAGTTAAAAATAAGATGGATTTGATTGTAAATCATCAGATATTTTTATATTTCTACACATGCACATGCTTAGGGATCTGAAATAGATAAATATTTGATTAATCAGACTGTCCAGTGTTTCYCCTAAGAAACACGGGGGCGCCCCGCCTGTATAATGGTACACTAACACTGCTGTCATTCGGCTGCATGTGACCCTGAAGGTTACATCAATAAAGCCAAGGAGCACTAACGTAAAATATATTCTTCTGTGTACACAGAAATAAGACAAATTTATGTTCCAAAGTTAACATGTTGGAGATTATCAAAGCATTTAAAAACACCAGCTTTGTTTTGTTGGTTTTAATTGTCCTGCAGTCTGTTTTTCAGTGCCACGTGACATAAACAATATGTGGTGTTAGTGGTGATATTCAACTCTAATGCCTCACTGAGTCTTTYAGATCAAGCTGAAAGTTCAGACTGAAAGCATTAGATAAGTCTGTTGCAGCTGCATCTGAGGATTCAGTGTCTGTTCCCTCGTCTGATGCACAGAAATAAGTTTGTTCTCAAAGATGGCAGGATGTGGGATGAGTCTGGTGCCGCTGTGCTCATCAGTCCAGTTAGATACCTACAGCTGACTGGTTAAACAAAGAGCACAAACTGAATCCTGTCTGAGTTGACAGCAAAGTCTATATTTTCAGTCTAAAAGCATTTTATTGTTAGTACTCAATCATTAATTGCAAACTCAGTCACTAAATACAGACATGTTTGTCCTCCTCTTCAATCTTTCTAATGACTTCTTTGTGTTTTCTCTTCAAGGGGACCCAAGGGTGTGTGGACTTTAGAGGAAAAGGGTGAGTCACCTCACTTTGAGACCACCTTTGAAGATGCCCGCCCCAGTTTAACTCACATGGCCCTCCTGGGACTGCAGCGGGCCGGATACCTCAAGTACCTCATCAGCCAGAATGTAGATGGTCTGCACGTTCGATCAGGCTTCCCCAGGTAAGCTCAGCCTGTTTTAAAACATTGAAGTCACTCCTCGACTCAGCAGTGTTTGCTCTGAAGTTATCCTGGTGTGACAACATACATTCTGTTTTTTAGCAGAAGTAAAGCAAAAAAATTTACATAAAGAAAATAGTTTTTTTTGTTACATGAAAGGGAACAGTTTATATAAAAGGTAATTTCATATCACAAACAATGTGATCACTAGCTTTAGAGAAGCTCATTCATTCATTCATTCATTCATTCATTCATTCATTCATTCATTCATACATACGTACATACATACATACCAGTCACTCTCATTCTAACATACATGACGGAACGGATGTTCTGGTCATTCGCAACATGGTCGCGCTACCTTTTGCAGCTTGGAATACACACAATAGGACAGATGAGTTAAAAAAGATGCTCTGATCCTATGTTTACACAAACAGAAACACAGAATCATACGCTCAAAAAAAACACTCGTGCAGTGCAAGGCAGCTAAGGACGAGAGGGGGCTGGGGATCAAACACATGGTATGGGGTAGGATGCAGCAGAGCTGTTGTAAATACTCAGTGCTGGCACCAATCAAAGACCTCCAGAGTCCAAAACCAGTTGTTATCAACCAAGGCACCAATCACCAGAGTTCAGTTCTCTGTCTCCACCCATCGTGGCCTTCAGACTGATCCACCCACGGATGATACGGGAAGGGGATGGGAGTCAAGCCTTTGTTTCACGTGTCATCCAGGGAGTTGATAACTGCCGAGCCAAGGTCAGCAGCTGCAGGGATCCAAAAGATAAACATAATTGTTTTGGGGCAAGCAGCCTTGATTTTCTCACTGCTTTCAGTCTATAACTGCATCTCTGTGATGGCAGAAAAAAAAGCCAATGTTCCGAATTCATTACCTCCTCCCCTCTCTTTCCGACTGAAATTTCACCCAGGTATAATCTTTTTCCCCACGGCCACGCTGCTGAACTGTGATTTTCATCAGAATCACATCCAGTTTGCGACTTATATCCCCCAGCATCAGAGTCTGTGTGCTTCCAGTGCGGGAGACTCCGTTCAAGGTTCCTGACAGCTTCTCACAGGCCCGGACTGCTGTCAGGATCGCTTTCATTTTCCGATAAGCCAGAACTCCTGCACAGCCGATCAGCAGGAATCCAGTTAACATAAATCCAAATATGTACAAATCTTCCACGTCTTCAATGGAAAGCGGCGCCAAACAGATCAGGTTACAACCCCCCAAAGAACCAGACACTTGCCTGGCTGCCACCATTCCACTGGGACAGCTGCGCTCCCTTCGCTCCAGTCTCAGTGTTTAAAAAATAGAGTCGATTGCGTTCAGAGACCAGTTGACCAGATCCATAATTCCTTTCAGAGAAAAGGCCTTTGTTCTTATCAGAACAAAAAACAACAACAATTCCTCTCCAGAACCCAGGCTGTCCCAGGCCGATCTAAAGAAGAGACTGCAAAGTCACACCCCTGGAGGTGGGACCTTTTACGTCAGATATTAGAATGTAACCAACTTTTGTTTATGCATACAGGACGGTCTCATATTAATAAGACACAATAACTCTCAATCTCTGTTTAAATTAAACAGCTGCAATGATCAGAAAGTATAAAATACAAGACTGGATCTAACATTCAGTTCATCAGTCACAAAATTTCCTTCAATATAATTTTTTCCAATAATAAAAATGGAACAATATTAAAGACAAAAAACAACAATTTTGAGATCCATGTTTGACTGTTTTTGTTGTATTATTGAGAGGTTTTACTGGATTTTTAGCCTGCATCATTTCCTGAAATCTCAGTCTTTCATGGATAAAGCTCTTTGGAATGTGAGCACCAAAATAAAGCTCTTTGAAAGTTTGTTGCACCAGTTTGTTCACAAGTAACTAGGGCTGCAACTAACGATTATTTTAATAATCGATTAATCTGTTGATTGTTTTTTTTCGATTAATCGATTAATCGGCCAAATCATTAAAATGCTTAATTACATGAATATGAGTAGATATAAATTAAGTTAACTCCTTAAGGATGCAAGTTATTGATAATGAATTAATCTGAAGTTGATTTATCTTATAGATTGATTAACAATTAATTAATAAGCAGCCATTAAAAAAAAACAGTTTCTCTTGAATCAAGAGGGTCTTCCCATAAAATGAAGGATTTTTTTTATAATCTTCTGAATTAAAAAACAGAAGCACATGATACATATTTTAACAATTTATTTTGCCAGCTGTATTAAATACTGACTGAAAAAATGTGTATTTCTCCTACATGAAA